AGCCTGCGCGTCCGGAGCCTGTGCTCCGCAACGGGAGAGGCCACAACAGTGAGAGGCCCATGTACCGCAAAAAAAAAAAAACAAAAAAAACAAAACAAAAACCAAACAAACAAAAAACCAAAAACATAAAACAGAGTAATAACATGTAAATATTAAAAAAAAAGACTCTCTATCCACTGCTCCCACCCTACTTAACCAGCTTCACACACCAAAACAGGCTGAATCTGAGACTGATTTTCACAGAGATTAGCTGGTCAATCAATAAGCTTTTATAGCATATAAGGGCTTGAGTAAACAGCACAGGAAAGGAATCTATTGTTGATACAAATTACAAGCTCCACAACTCTCATTCTAAGTGACTTTCCAAAATATTGACTTACTAAACACACTGGACATGAGCCAATAAAGGTAGTTAATGTTTAGATTATCTGTAACCAAACTCCCTACTAACCTCGATTTAGAATTTAGCCGTATTGTGCATACAAGTAAACTTTCTTAAATTATAAGAACCCACATAAACTCCATAATATTTTGCATCCAATGTATAATGAATAAATATTGACGATTATATGCTACTTAATATGCTAATTAATAAACCAGAAAAATCTATCTTAATTCTGGAAAAGAATAAAGATAATTACAAACAGATTCTCCTCTGTTTGCCACCTGTGCTAATCCCAACAGTTCTAGTAGCGGCAAAGTCACTATCAGGAAGAATGAAAAGGACTTATGCCAGTTACTTTATTCTGCATTTGGGGGGAAGAGCATGTGGCACAAGAATCTTTGTGAAAACAGTACAGGGAGAGTCAACACAGGCACTGAACTCATTTTTGGTTTCACTCAAATTTTAGAGTAAATAATACAAAAAAGGACAACAGGTATCATTATTAATAGTCTTGTCTCACGGGATTTGAAATATCATCTTGGGTCTTGGAACAAGCATGAATAAACAAACCTAAGAAAGCATTTCAGAAGGTCAAAATCAAGCCAAAACACAGTGGGAAGGTATTACAAATGGGGTACAGATAATCTTAGATTTCTTGTTTACTGCCCCACACTAATATGGATAATTTCCTCATCAATGAGATCCAGGAATTTATTAAATGCAACAGGCTGTGAAAAGAATCAGAACCCTAAATCCTACAAAATAAACGCTTTAACAGAATAAATGGTGACCACACACATACCATTTAAGAAGAACTCAGCAATTTTGTAATGAAAAATGATCTGGGTTCTATTTTTTAAAACTTTGAATCATGTGTGCACAAGAAGAAGAAAAAAGGCTTCCTATAGAGCCATTAACTCCACTAAAGATTTTGACTACTTCCTATTCATGGTCAAATGTGGTTGAATTACTTGATAATATTTTAAATAAAATAAACATTTTTAATGCTGGTTGAGTCTCCTTCTTGTCACTTTAATTAATATGGGACAATTGCAGTAAAGGGTAGTATAATGCGTCTGCCAATTCTGACCAAATAGTTCCAGTTTATAGGAAATAAGGTGGGAGGAGGGAGTACAAAAAGACAGGTTTAAAAATTACCAAGAGGAAACAATCAGACAAATTTAAGAAATGTCAGACCCCTGACTGGACAATTGCCCTGGACTCTTAAAAGGCAAAGTCATTAAAGAAAAAAGGAAAGAACTGTTCTACTCTAAAAGAGACTGCAGAGACCTCACCAAATGTACTGCATGAACCCAGATCGGATCTTGGCTTTACAAAAGCTATGAAAGAAATTATTGGGACAACTGGAGAAATCTGAATACCGAGTAGCTAGTTTTCTTAGGTGTCATAATGGCACTGTGCTGATATAGAAGTTGTTCTTTTTCTTAAGAGAGGCAGGCCAAAGTATTCACTGGTGAAGTGACACATCACCACTTAATTTCAAATGGTATAGCAAAAAAAAAAAGTATATGTCAGTATATGTGTATAAGGCATGTGGGTGTTGTTCACTGTACTGTTCTTTCAATTCTTCTGCACATTTGCCATTTTCATAATAAAAGTTGGGAAAAAGAAAGCTGGGAAATGGTGTCTGGGATGGAGGCAAGGGGTAGGGAAAAGAAAGGGAGACTACTTCATTTAGAACATATTCTAAAAGGTGAAATAATACATTCAAAAGATAGGAATATGGTGGTAGAAGAAAAAATAAGTATCATGAAAAATAACAGAATGTCAGGATATGAATTTCTGAAAAAAAAAATGGTTGTCTCTCAACCAGGGCTAATACACTCAGTCATGAGGGCTCTAGGGAAACAAGCATAATTCCAAGAAAGAATGCTGGGACTGAACTCAAGGGTTTTAATCTGCCATCTGAGTCATCGCTAAAACAATTCCATGGCAACAGAACAGATCACACTCTGACAAGCCAGCAGCCTGCCCGCCGGTCTAGCCCTCCCCGCTAGATGATACAATCACTGCTCCGGCTAGGCCAAAAGGATCAATGTGAATACTAATGGTAATGATAACATAGGGCTGTCACGCCATCTAATTTTCTTTGGTAAAAGACCAAGAGTATACTTTCATAGCCCAAAGAGGTCTGCACACAAATCCAACAATATTTTCACTTAGAAGAAAGGTTCTTAACAGAATGAACTTGTTACTAAATTAATTTTCGTTCCTGAAGATAATAAGCATTTCCTCCATAAGGACATTGATATTATAGCTTGGTGTCGGAGAAGAGAAATCCTCCTCCTTTCTTTTCTTGAGTGAGTCACATTAAACTTGTATCAAACTTCAGTGCATATTATAATCATCCAGGATGCTGATAAAATGCAGATCTCCAGGTCTCGCACCCTGAGATTCTGATTCCATTGCCAGAGGTGAGCGGGGGGAGGGGCCTGCACTTGTGTAAGGACCCCTGGGGGTTCTGAGGCAGGTACTCTGAGGTTCACTTATGGCCTGGGCTCCAACAAGCAGCTGAGTCTGACTTGGATTAGATATGATGATATAGTGAGGGGCTGTGGACTGGAAGTCAGAAAATCTGGGCGACAGATTTGTCACTAATTTATTCCACTTTGGGCAAGTTATTGTCTCTGTGCCTCAGTTTTCTCATATATTTAATGAGGATAATACCACACCCCCCCACCCCGTTACTGGACCTCACATACATGCTAATTTATACAAAAATGACTTGAAAGTATGAAGAGCATAACAAGTAAGCATATCTTTAAATCTCAAAGTTATAAATCTTTGAGAAGGGAGGCTTTAATCTAATTCAGTGAACTTCATATTATCTCATATTCCTGACAAGAGCCAATTACATATTACCTTCTCCTCTTTCCTTTTAGGCTTAATCCAATGAAAGGCGTGTTAAAGTGACATTCTTATTCTTATTTATCACTTGCCATCCACCCCCCACTTCCCCTGCCAGCCCTGACAAAAGAGGAAGCACAGAGAGAAGGAGGACATCAGTTAAGCACTGCGAAAATTCTATCTAAAGGAGATGCATGTCTTAGGATGCCTCTTACCAAGTCTATGAGTTTGGTAACAGGAACTTCTCGGATTGGTCTTTTCATTCGGCACAAAGCCTCTAAGGATGTACCAAAACAACTTGGGAAGTAATTTCCACTGATGGTCAAGAAGTAATCTTTGCCTCGATCCAGGTGAAGGACAAGAATATCTTCAATCTTATCTTCCCCTGAGTTCAGGATGGTCACAGAGTCTTTACTGACATACACATCAAGGGAAATGTCCACAGTCTCATCTGAAATGTAAGAGATGGTACATGATAACAGAAACTTCCAGTGGAAAAGCAAAAAGGGGATGAGAACCAACAGAAGAAGTGCCCTCTAAAAAAATCATTAAGTGATGAAGGAGAGATGGGACACACGGAAGAGGGAGGAGCCCCAATACAACGACAGTGGAGGTGAGAGGCGTATGGTTAGAAAACAAGAAGTTAATCAAAGGGAGGGGATGGCAGTCATGAGGGGATGGTACATCACGAGCAGCAGAGACAATGGTAAAGGGAAAACTCACTTGGCTCCAAGTAGCCCTCACAAGGTTCAGCCCGAAGCCATGGCTTGCAGTACTGGCTGTCATTAAGCTTAGGGATGAAAGAAAAATGGCAGGGAACCTGTCCATTGTTGCTGATCTGGAACTTCTCCTTTTGTAGTTGCCGAAACTTCACATTCTCAAACACAAACTGGGGAATAACAGACAGACACAAACATGCATCACTAGTAGGGGAAGAAAGTCAGTTGGATTATTCCATAGAGAATATGAATAAAGAATGAGGTCATTATTAACCATTATTAACTGCCGGATGCACTCGCCAAGCGAGCCAGCTACCCACTGTCCCCTCTCACAACAGCAGAGAAGGAGCCAGGCAGCTCTTGCTACTTCTCTAGGCTACTCTGATTGTTCCTGGGATCCTAAGAGTATAACCCCACCTGGGGTCGGGGCATGCATCCCATGACCAGGTCCTGGTTCCTGAGATATGAATTGGCCAGCAACTCTGAAATATTAAATAAGAGCAGCTGACATCTGAGGGCTTACTTTGTGCCCGGCGCTGTTTTAAGGGCTTTGCATGTATTAACTCGGGTAATCCTCACAACCTCCTCTTTATCCAAAAAAGGAAACTGTGGCTCTGAGAGGGTAAGACGCTCGCCCACGGCCACACGTCTACTAGATGGCAGTGCTGGGACCAAAGTGGAGGCAGTCTGCCTTCAGCTCACACAGTCTTCATGACTTTGCAGTGTTGCCTTCTCCTAGTTACATGGTTTCCCCTGTGTGACCACGATGGGCAGCAGATGGGCAGCCGTGTGTGCTTCCTCACCTCCCTCCGGCTGAGTTCTAAGGAAGGAAGGAAGTCATTTTCCATTCTGTCCATGATGCGTACAATATCTTCAAACACTTTCCGGTACCTCCGTTCATCCACAACCTTCACCTGAAAGAAAATGAACCCTCTTTTCAGTCTTACATGCGTGTAGCTCATCTTCCTTTAAGATTACCTAACAGTTTAAAACCGGTCATTATAGCAACCATTTCAAATAAACTGTGGTGCAAACAACATCCTCAAACACTTTCTGAAATCTCGCTCCATCCACAACTTTTACCTGAGAAAAACAGACATATCCTTATTTTAGTCTTATGTACTCTCAACTTATATATCTCTAAGAGTCTAACGATCTTTAAAAAGGCCACTAAAAGAAACATAAATTATGGGATCACACACCGTAAGGTAAAGGTAAGGTTAATTGGTTAACTTCTTGGAAAAGTTAAACCTCTGTGCTACGAAACTTGGCAATAATAAATATTTGGGAAGAATATTTTCTTGCTCCATTGTTAAGTAATTTGGTGGTGGAGAAAATGTGACGATTGTGCTAAAACTTATTTCCTGCACTATACAAACTGATAGTGTCAAAACATACCTATCACATTTTCTAATAATGATCATAAAGTGCTAAAACAGCAGAAAAAATGACTAAAGCATTTAACTCTATTAGCTGTTATGCACAATGCCAAGAATCATAATACCAATATAATATCAATGCTCAGATTATATGATGATAAAAGTATGTTAGTAAATAGACCCTATGGCCATTTTAGAAAACGGCCGATACAAAATGTCCCAGATCAGAGTAAAAGCATGACGATAAACAAATCATCTTGCCTAATAGATCGAAAAAACTCCCATCTGACACAGCACTTTCGGCTTCCTGACACAGCTGTGCTTTTTTTTTTTACTATTAAAACTTTATACAAATCGATGCCCAAAACAAACATAATTAACATACCATTTTCACTTATTAAGGCCCCAGTTTCTTTTTAGAATAGAAAACTTCACAAACTCAATTTTTAAAAAAAGATTGATGTATGCAGTAGAGGCTGTAAAGAAAGTGTGGAAAATAAGAACATCAAAGCTGAGTCTCAAAGACTGTGGAGGTTTTTACATATCTGAACCATAATGATTAGAGAACTTAGGAGTAAGCAATCATTAGTGTCACCAGGGTGCCTACTACAGTGTTACATTAAGAGGAATTTTATACTTATTAAATTCTTTTTCAACATTTTGCAACTTCAAAAAATATTTATTTATTTATTTTGGCCGTACCGCACAGCATGTGGGATCTTAGTTCCCCGACCAGGGATCGAACCTGCGCCCCTGCATTGGAGGCGTGGCATATTAACCACTGGACCACCAGGTAAGTCCTTTTGCAACTTTTTATTTCAAAAAGTATTTTACATATGTCATCTTATTTTCACAACAACCTGTGAGGCTACCAAAGCAAGGATTATTCTTCTCACAGTTGAGAATATCAAGGTACAAAAAGATCAACTAAGTTGCTCACTGCCACAGTTAATAGCAGAGGTGATATCTGGACCTCTAGCATAAGACCCTTTCCAAAATACTGGATGTGTGACAGGACCAACTTGGGTATGTCTTTTTTTTGAGGCAGGGGTAGGTCTTAAAAACACAAATGCCTCAGCTCACTGATAGCAATCTCCAGGGGGCGGGGTCCATGCTTTTGAAGCTCTTTAGGCAATTCCGATGTCCACCAAAGTCTAAGAACCAATGCAACAGATCCCATTACCAAGTGCAGGGGTGGGAACAACATCTCAGCTTAATCTCAGCCAGCCCACAGCAAGTCTTCTGAAATTAATTGGCCCCTGAGTACTTGGTCCCTTTGTTAACAGTCACTGATGTGAATGGTGGTAAGAAATACAATGTGGTTCTTAAAGCCTCTAATCATAGTGTGCCCAAGAGTCCAAAGTATGGGGTGGTTACCCAATAAAATCAAAGCTCTTCTCAGTGGGTTATCATGATCATGACCCTTAAGGCTCAGTAAGGATAATGAAGGGGAAAATGTTACCACAGAATGTCACCACTTGATACATCCACTTTAGAAAAGGAAATTACCAATAAAATTAGGAATTAAGAAATATGTACAATGAGCTAGATCTTTATGTAATAACACGGATAGCTCTCCAAGATACACCACTGAATTAAAAAAAAAAGTTGCAGACCAACACATACAGTATGAGACCATTTATGATATATACACACCAACAAACAAAACACCACCATATTGTGTATGGGTAAACAGAAACGGTCTAGAACTGTGCTATCCAATATTATAGCCAGTAGCCACATAAGGACATTTAAATTTAAATTACTTCAAATTAAATAAAATTGGAAGTTCATTTCTCTCAGTCACACTTCAAGTGATCAATAGCTGCCTGCAGGTAATAGCTACTGGATGGGACAGGGCAGATCTAGAACATTTCCATCATCACAGAGAATCTATTGGACAGTGCTGGTCTAGAAAGAAACAAATTCATAAGGGTAGTTGGCCGGGCTAGGGAGTGGGGTTTAGCGCAAAAGTGGGAGTGGGGGATAGAAGAGGCACTGAAGACCTTCAGCCTTATCTGTGAATTTTGCTTACTTCTATTTTTATTTTAAAGAGAAAACACATTTTAATTCCTGTGTGATTTAAAAAGTATTAAAGACTAGAAAGGTAGACCTTTATTAAAGATACACAAAAATACACAGAAAGCATGGAAAAATTGTAAATATCCTGCTGGGAGCTCTGAATTAATATGTATGGAGTATTACAAATATTCTGAGGTTCTGAAAAGAAATACAAACAGAAAAGCTAAGCATAGCTGATGAAACCAAAAAGGTTAGTGTCTGGGGGAAAGACATCCTTTTAAAAATGGATTAAGAGAACTCAAATGAAGAAAACAGGGCAGTCCACAAGCACAAGCTAGAAATTAGGTGGGTTAAAAGTAGTATCTGGGCTTCCCTGGTGGCGCAGTGGTTGAGAGTCCACCTGCCGACGCAGGGGACATGGGCTCGTGCCCCGGTCCAGGAAGATCCCACATGCCACGGAGCGGCTGGGCCCGTGAGCCATGACCGCTGAGCCTGCGCGTCCGGAGCCTGTGCTCCGCAACGGGAGAGGCCGCAGCGGTGAGAGGCCCGCGTACCGCAAAAAAAAAAAAAAAAGAATAAAAAGAAAAAAGTAGTATCTGAAGGTATATCTAGTCAGTAAGTTCTCTGGAACTCTGCAGGCATTGTGGGGGTAGGAGAAAGAACATCTATAAGTTTGGGAATTAAACAGGCTTAAGAGACTTGAATCTCAGCTCTCCTTCTAACTGCATGCTCTTAAAGAAGTTTATTTAAACTCACTGGTTCTCCACTTGCTCATCTGTTAAATGAGAAATATTTAACTCAAAGCACTGCTGTGAGGAGTAAATGAGATGGGTGTAAATTGCCTAGTACAGTCTCTGGCACGTACTAGCTGCTTTTTGAGGAACACATACTATTATTATTCATTATTATTTTAAAATTTCAAAGTGGATAAAGTCAAGTCATGATTGCCTCAATAAAATTTAGAATCTATTCTAAGATGAAGAACAAATTTTGTACATAAAGGAAATGCCCCAAAGTCATTCCCCTTTAAGACAGGAGCAGGATAAGACATATTGGTGAGAACCTATCTCAGAAGCCAAAATAATCAACATACACCCAGAGGAAAGAAATCTACCCTACTGTGCTCTTCGCATGTCTTACCTCATTAATCCTCTTAAGTAGGTACCATTGTTATTCCCATTTTATAGAG